TTTATCAGTATATAACACAATTTATCAATACTAATTTGGGACTTAAATGTTATAAAACTATCAAATTAAGTCCTAGAACTAACAAAACTCACAACACTATTAAATTGAGAGTTAATTTGAAGTTTTAAAATACCAATTCTGTTACAAAGTAAAAAAATAAAAAATAAAATAAAAACAAAAAAAATGAAGAAAAATTAAAAAAAAAATACGAAATTGTTGGAGAAAATTAAAAAAAAAGTATGAAACTATTGCTCGGTTTTCTTGCTATGAGTTTATTTATTTTTTTTAAATATTATGCAAATGCTTATTTATTATTTTATGTGAGTAAACACCAATCTTTTTTTTTAAACTCTCAATTTAACTATATGACTTAATTTGATAGTTTTATAACATGTAAGTCCTAAACTGAGAAAAAAAATCTTTCAGGGCCCGATTTGATAGTTTATCTATCTTTTGAGCCTCGTATTGAAAAAACTCCGAAAATCAAAGTATAATCGAGAATTTATTTTCGATTAACTTTTTTTTATTATCTCTATACATGTTGAATATTTTTTTTTATAATTATAACCAGTGTTTTAAAACGCGTATAGCGTGATGCGTCGCGTTTTTGTCTTTATAATGCGTAACGTAAATAGCGTTGCGTGTTGCGTAAACTATTTGAGTATAATTATTTTTTTTATAGAAATATCACAAGTATATTTACATATGATAAAAATGGATGGTTGATTACAAAAATTATCATATTATTTGAATGACTACAACTTAATTCTAACAATTGGATATGAACTTTTTTTCTTTATTTAAATGTCAAATATCAAAAAATAAATAATATAACAAACATGGTCAAAAAATATTGCACTATTCAATTTAGTACTTTGCATTTTCAAACTTTTAATCTGAAATCATTATCAAAATTTTTAGTTTTTAATTGTCAATCTAAATCTTGGAAATAAGGAGGAGAATTTGGCTTGGGAAAAAGAGGAGAGGAGCTTGATTGTCTTTTGGGAAGATAGGCGTGAACAGGGCATAAATAAAAGAACAGAGGAGGAGGAGCATTATTTTTGATTGGGAGACTTGAGAAGCTTTGGCACACATATATTCACAAGAAGACAATACATCAAGAAGACAATACATCCCTCTGAGTTGTGAATTGTTAATTTTCCAAAAGCTTCAGCGTGGACAATAACGTCCTGAAGAGAGGAACTTTGATACTTTTATCTTTTTCTCTTTGGCATGATTATTTGATGAGAAACGCAACGATATAGTGCATATTAGTATCGAACTCGCGATTTATAATTATTTTCATAGTTCACTAGATGTTTTTGGATTGCATGGAAAACATTGTATTTGATTTATTCTAGTGAAATTTTGACATGTTACTTTAGTCTACGAGTGATTTTACTTGTAGGCTAAATTTTGAATCGTTCGTGTTTATTTTTTTTGCCGCTGCGTATTTTAATTGTTTATCTTTGTGTGAAAATCTAGATATTTACGTACCTATAATTTTAACAATTTGTAAATATGACTCTGATCCTTAAAAAATACATGTTTTTTAATATTTTATTGTTCAAATGTCGTCGTAGAAATATAGCGCAATGTAACGCACAATAGCGTGAAATAGCACAAAATAGCGTAAAAAAACATGTTTCAACATTTTGCTTAAGCTTTTTCAGGAAGAATGCTAAATATATAAGACTACGTCATATTTTTTTGAAAAAAAACTATACAACGAGCAATAACGAGCTATTTACAATACTGATTATAACTCACCCACATCATTTTAACACGCGGCGTTGAAAATTTTTTATAATTATAATTCACCCACATCATTTTAACACGCCGCGCAACAAAAAAAAAGGCAGAAATAGAAAATTCAAAAACGACACTTGTAGTCAAGTCAAAAGAAGTGAAAAAAGCTATCTGCTTTTTTTGTAACGATCATCACGCACGCCCAACTTGCTTTGTAGCAAGACTAGGATAAAATATATTCTTAGTCCTAACCTAACTGGAAAACATTAACAAGAAAAAAAAAAATCTATGGAGCTCGAATAGTTTTTTTACGATCATTCATCATTTAATGTATTGATACATGTCTAAAGTATATTTATTGCAGGACACGTGTCAGTACCTCATTTGTGAATAACTATGGATGACTTCATAAGCCGAACTATCCGATGGCTCCATTACAAAACTGTAACAAGAACATGAGTCCCATCTCAACAATCTTGACCTTTTCCAAACAAATAGAAAATACAAAAGATTTAAGAAAAGGTAAGGGAAAAAGAGGGTGAAGACAAAGAAAAATAAAATCACCCATAAATACAAGATAGAAACAATCAAACCCAACAGACTAAAAACCCAGAAAATACTATAATTAACACCAGAACAGATTCAAAAACCCAGAAAATACTATAATTAACACCAGATAAAGCAAAAAAATACTGAAATTTGCAGTCAGTATCTTAGATAATGAATAAGTTCTCTTCTATATATCATTGCAAAGCTCTTCCAATTTCTTCAGCCTCAATTCCTCACTTTCAGTCACCAACTGCAAGTAGTTGAAAAAAAAAGAAGGTGGTAAGGGCAGGAAAATATTATTCCCATCTTTTACTCCAACCAAATATGGGCTTATTTTATTAGGAAATGGTACGGTACCATCCCGTCGGGTGTTATAACTCGTTAGAAAAGGAGAATTTCCAAGTGTCGCACAGCACCACACCTAAAATCGGGTCAAGTTATACAATTCAACTCTTTACTTATTCAATGAGTGAATTTGCACGCTTAACGATCATCTATCTTATCTAACTACATGTGGATCCAACGGTTAAAACACCCGACGGGATGGTACCGTAACGGGACCGTAGCATTTCCCTATTTTTTTATTAAATTACCTCAACTAATTTGGCAACCAGCTGAGTCTTTTCCTGGTTCTTCTCATTCAAAGCCTCAACGGCTTCTTTATACTCTTTTTCCTGTGGAATTAATGTAAACAGTAAACACTCTTAGGCTATGACAGGGTAATCTGTAACTATAATCAATCCCAGAAAATGTGAAGAAGTACTCACCTTCTTCTGACAGTGCAAGCCCAAAGATTTCAAGTCTCGAGTAATAATGTCGATCTTCTTGCAGATGGCTTCAGCTTCTTTCCTCATCGGATCATTAACAGCATCGAGCTCCTATATACATACGTATCGACTGTTAATTATTTAACAAAAGCAAATACTTGTCCGATCTAAATTAGCAAACATTTGTTCAGATCTGGATTTGTTCTTTACAAACAAAAGCCCCAAATTCTCGAAACCCTAATGCTCATACACAACACACATACACAACAAAAATGAAGTTCGTAATGATAAAATTTGCAGGTGCTTACAGCATGAATTACAGCGAGGCGCTTGGCTTCTTCCTCAACACGTCCCAACTGAGCTTCGATCTTGCCTCTCATCTCGGTTTTCTTCTTCTCGATTTCATCTTCCTTGGCACGAAATGCAGCCATGGCGGATTTTGTGAGGTCCTCTTCCTCTTTCTTGTCTTGGGTGAGCAAAGGGCTCTCCATTTTGTTGTCCCTCACAACACAACAATTTGTCACACACATCATTCCTTTTCTTTTTTAATTTATTAGCGGTGGTTGTGTGTATTTTCTAGTCATTGTTCAAATATGAAACAAGTCTTTCTTGTACCTCTCTCTCTCTCTATTTTCTTTTGCTTTTCTTTTAGGGGGTGTCTATATGTACACCCCTCAAGTGTAAAAAAGGGGTGTACATATAGCACTTTTCTTTGTGTAATTTATTAAAAGGGGGTGTATATATAGCATTGCCCTTCTTTTATTGCTAATAATGATATTTTTCCATATTTTTCCCTGTTTGAAGATGCTTTAAGAACAATGCTGGCAAGTTTGTAATGCCCATGTGAATACATACCTGTTGCTTTATTTTTAAATAAATGTTGCCTCATGACTACTGCTGCAAAGGATCACGAGCTGCTCGCAAGCGCTCAAGTCGAATCTCGACTCGGCTCGAGTTTGACCGAAATCAAGACGAGCTCAAGCACGAACTCGTGTCGAGCTCGAGCTTATATTTTGCATTATTGAGCGGGTCGATATATATGTTAAATTACTAAAATAACTCATATATATATTTAAATAGTGTAATACTGGTGTTTAATGATAATTTTACTTTTGCACTTAAAAACTTTTTAGCCAAGCTCGAGCATTTTGATTTCGAGTCGAGCAGCGAAAAATTCAATTATGTTTGATAAGACCAATGCTCGACTTGACTCTACTCGTTTGTAGCCCTAGTGATGACTATATTGTCCAATGTTGTAATGATGATAATAATTGTTAGGTTAATTGCATCTAATGTGTATCTATGGTCAAAATTAGACATGATCTGAACTCAATGTACCTTCCACTGAATTATCCTATGAGAATAATTAATATGTTGTTAACTTGCTATAGTATAAGCCTGACAAATAATAGGAGCTACGAAGTTTAAACAATGACAACCAAAATATATATATAAAAAAATAAATGGAAATGCTATTTGTACAATAGGGTTTCTACAATGACTTTGACAATTCCAAGTCAATTACCCTTTTACCCTTATTTGACAAGAATATAAAATGAATTATAATCTCACGGATATAAAACGGGATATGGAAATCCTGAAAAAACAGATAGAAGAATTATTTAAATCTGTTCAACAGCAGTCTAAAGATTCTAAACAAGATTTAGAACCTATAGCAGCTAAAATAATCAATCACATTAAACAAGAAATTGATGAATGTCCTTGTAAAAAAGAAAATAAAAAACAGAAAGAAATTTCTAACCAAGAAAATAATATACCTTTTCTAAAATATTCATATCCTAATGACTCAGTAGGAAATGAAGAATTAGGAAGTTCAGGAAATCCTAACGCTTTTAAATGGCCAAAAGATGCTTTGAAAAAATGAATCTTCAAGAAAAACTTGAGAAAAATCTTTGGAACCTAATTAATTTAGATTTGGATGATAAACAAGCTATTCAGCTTGAACATACAATTCGTTTTTTAGAAATGAATGAAGAACAATGTAATTCAGATTTGGAATCAAACCCTGAAATGAAAAAGTTGTTAAAACTCGAAGAACATGAACAACTTTATCAAATTGAGGAAACTGAAACTGACACTCAATCAGAATCAAAAATAAATTTCAAAGATGAAGAAGAACTTCTAAAGGAAAATTTTAGAATGGAAAAACCAGAATCATCTGGAACAAAAGATGATCAAGAAATGAATACTGAAGAATTCGAAAGAAAACCATCAGTAACTCCTAGACCACCTAGATCTTCTAACAACAATGCCGGTATCTCTGGTATTGCCGGAGAAGTTCAGACAGCTTCAATCTTAGACTTAGACTGTAAAAAACCTGAAACAATTAAAAAATTAATTGATAAATGGGACTAGAAATGAGTCTTGTGATTAATCTCAATCCAAGTACTTTCAATACAGCACAATTTGTGTTAGCACTTGCTGAGCATAGAATGCTTGGAAATGCACAAAATTTTATAAAAAGAGTTCAATGGGATACTCAAAATGTAAACCCTGCAGTTACGCTTGAAAGCATTCTGAACAGTCTTTATACTTTGTTTTTGGGCATTGATCGAGTATCGAATGCAGAAAATGAAAAACTTATAGAGCAATCTAAAGCTAAGGTAAGATTAAATAATTTGACTCTTTGCGATATTTGTTACATTGAGGAATTCAATTGTGATTTTGAAAAGAATCTTTTCAAAATAGATTTTGGAGAACATCCTGAATACATTAGAATGTATTTAGCAAAAATTCCTATTGTAGGAAATGATGCTTCAAAGAAATATGAAACAGCTGAAAATCTTATGAAATATAGTTTTGGTTATGTCAAAAGACTCGTAAGAGAGGAAATTGAAAAAAATTGTAATGCTACCACAAAGCAAAAACAAATGAAGAAGTTCAACCGAAACTGTTGTTCTAAAATTTCTGAGAAATCTACAGATTATGGTTGTAAACCATATAAAGGAAAACCTAAGAAAAATTACTCTAGAAAGTATAAGTACCAGAAAAGAAAGAAGAGAAAAACTTTTAAACCTGGTAAATATTTTAGGAAGAAACAGAAGTTTCAACCTAAGAAAAACTTTTGTCCAAAAGAAAAAAAAAAAAAAAATTGCAGATGCTGGATCTGTAACATAGAAGGTCATTATGCAAATGAATGCCCTAATAGACAAAAATCTGAGAAAGTAAAATTTCTCCAGATTGCAGAATCATTTGGTCTTGAACCAATTGAAGAAGAATACTCAGATATAGAAGAAGTTTATATACTGGAAAAATTGAAAGATGAATCCTCTTCAGGAACATCAAGCACAGAAAACAGTGATACAGAGTGAGGATAACCTCATCAGTATTACAAACCCGAATTCAATCTACATTAAAGGAAAATTGAAATTCGCAGGATATAAACAAATGGAGATACATTGTTTTGTTGATACGGGTGCAAGCCTTTGCTTATCTTCAAAACATATTATTCCCGAAGAACATTGGGAAAATGCTTCAAGAACATTGCAAGTAAATATTGCAGATGGAAGCTCAATCTCAATAAATAAAGTTTGCAAAAATTTAAATATGATGATAGCAGGAGAAATATTTTCATATTCCAACTGTTTATCAACAAGAATCTGGAATGGATTTTATTCTAGGAAATAATTTCTGTCAATTATATGAACCTTTTGTTCAATACACTGATAGAATAATCTTTACCAAGGATAATCAACCGGTCCATATAGGAAAATTGAGAACTGCATATAGGGTTGGAAATCCAGGATATTTAGATTCCATGAAAAAGAAATCTAAATCCAAGAAACCGGAACCAGTTCAGATAACTACTGATAAAATCTCACTTCTTAAAAAGAGGGGGAAGAGGTTATTAGAGTTTAGAAAAGAAATAAACATATTTATTCTTAATCAACAAAAATTCTCTATAATAGAAAAATTATGGAAAAAAGTTTGTGCAGAAAATCCACTTGATCCTAATAAGACCAAGTATTGATGAAAGCTTCTATCAAACTGATAGATCCTAAAACTGAAATTGTGGTGAAAGCAATGAGCTATACACCCAAAGATAGAGAAGAACTTAATCAACAAGTTCAAGAAATGCTTGACATGAAAGTCATCATTCCTAGTAAGTCTCCTCATAGATCACCAGCATTTTTGGTAGATAAAAAAGGGACTTCAAAACGAAGAATTGTTATTGATTATCGAGAGGTTAATAAGAAAACAATCGGTGATGGTCATAATTTACCAAATAAAGATGAACTATTATCTTTATTAAAAGGAAAAACAATATTCACATCTTTCGATTGTAAATCTGGTTTTTGGCAAGTCCTTTTAGATAAGGAATCCCAACTACTAACGGCTTTTGCATGCCCATTAGGGCATTACCAGTTTGTGGTGGTACCTTTTGGTTTAAAACAAGCACCATCAATCTTTCAAAGGCATATGAATAATGCATTCAGAAAGTTTGAAAAATTCAGTTGTGTATACGTCGATGATATTCTAATCTTCAGTGATACAGAACAAGAACATTATATGCATGTTGCAGTAGTTTTGAAAGAATGTGGTAGATTAGGAATAATCCTTTCTGAAAAGAAAACTCAATTGTTTAAAACTAAAATAGAATTTTTAGGATTAACAATTGAAGAAGGTTTTCATAAACCTCAAAATCATATTTTGGAACATATTCATAAGTTCCCAGATAAACTTGAAGATAAGAAACATTTAATGCGCTTTTTAGGTGTATTAACTTATGCTTCAGATTATATTCCTAAATTAGCTAATATAAGGGCTCTCCTACAAGCTAAATTGAAGGAAGATCAAAAATGGTATTGTTCAGAAATTGATACTAATTACATGAAGAAAATAAAGAAAAATTTAACCAATTTTCCTTTATTATATCTTCCAAAAACAGATGATCAATTGATCATTGAAACAGATGCATTAAATGCATATTGGGGTGGTGTTTTAAAAGCACTATCTAATGAAAAAGAGTATATATGTCGATATGCCTCAGGAAGTTTTAATTCGGCTGAGAAGAATTATCATTCAAATGAAAAGGAATATCTTGCGGTAATAAAAACCATAAAGAAATTTACAATTTATCTTACTCCTTATAAATTTACTGTTAGGACAGATAACAAAAACTTCACTTATTTCTTAAAAACCAAGATGAAAGGCGATAGTAAACAAGGTAGACTTGTAAGATGGCAAATGTGGCTTAATCAATATGAATTTGATGTGCAACATATTGCAGGAAACAAGAACGTCCTTGCAGACTTTTTATCTCGAGAATTTAACGACCTTTGATAAAATGTTCACAGGATTAAGGCTCAACGGAGCACATAACCAGTCACAGGCGGTGACAATAGGGAGTTGCTTCCCAGGCATGATTTATGCTTGATAAAGCATCATCTATAATGGATGAATTACGACAACTCCAGTTGCAAGAAGGACTTCTGGTCCAAGAACTTGAATTGGTTCGCAATAAAATTAA